GGAGGGGGGCACTGGCATAGGCCAAGCAAGGGGGGGGCTGCGGGTGTGGGGGGGTGTTGCGCCATGTCTGCCGCCCTCAACGGTCCAGGGAGGGCTGCCTGGGGGCTGTTGGGTCTGCAAGGGGTTGTTTTCTATTGCGAAATGATGGTGAGATGCGGGCTGGGAATGGTTTGGCGGGAGAAAGAGAAGGCTTGAGGCTGGGCCGCGTTGAGCGGAGTGCGTTGCGGCTTCCGCCTCCCAATCAACCATTAGCCCGCATGGCGGGGCCGCGTCGCGGCCTTGCCGAGCAGACTCCGCCCACCTTTGGTTTCTGCCGGGCAAGATGGAGGGCCTTGCCGTCCCTTTCCTCCTCTCACACGCACTCATTTCCACACTGTACACACACACACACACACACATGCACGCACACAAACACGCACCTTCGTGCAACCAACCCCATGCCTGAGACCCTCCACCCTCGCTAACGCCGCCCCCTCTCAGGGGTCAGCGCGCGTCATCAGGTGCCTTGAGGAGAATCGGAAGGTCCTCACGCAGCAGTGCACCGCGGCACTCTTCGACCACGAGGTGAAGCCACGCACCCGGGGTGACGCGGCCGGGGTGACGCGGGGCTAGCATGCGCGCAGAGAGGGGTAAAGACAGGATACGTGTGTGCATGTGTGTGAATGTGTGCGTGACAGAGACAGAGAGAGAGAGAGAGAGAGAGAGAGAGAGAGAGAGAGAGAGAGAGAGAGAGAGAGAGAGAGAGAGAAAGGGAAAGAGAGAGAGAAAGAGAGAGGATGTTATCTTCAACGCAGCACGCACCTCGCTGCTTCTGGCGCCTGCATCTCCTCGCGCCTGTATGTTTCGACGCCTATCACCCCAAACCGCCCCGCGCAGGTGCGCATGGCTGAGGACATCGACTTCAAGTACCCCATGCGCAAGGCCTGCGCCTGGGAGATCTCCTCCCTCTGCCAGAACGTGCCGCACGGCCACGCTCGCGTCATCCGCTGCCTGCAGGAGCACCTGGATGACGAGGACATGAGCAGGTGGGGCGGTTTTGTTTTTTGGGGGGGGGGCGGACGGGCTGCTTGCGGGGGTTGGACGTGGGGTTCAAGGTATTGGTTTATTGGGTGCAGGGTTTAGGGTTGAGCATTTTGTTCTGTCAGTGAGTTCGTCAGTGGGGTGTCAGCTTGCGTCAGCGGGGTTCGGGGCGCAAACTCTACACCATAGCATGTGACGGTTTGAGGTTCGACGCCTGGTTGAGGGGCCCCGGTCATACCAGGGAGGATGGTTGTCAGAGCGCTTTAGTTCATTAGGTGGAAGCGGGGTGTCCACCAGCTGGGAGCAGGGGGTTGACTGGAGGCCTGGAAAATGACAGGGCAGCGCAGCGCGCGAGGGCCCGGCCAGCCGGCGCCTAGTGCACTGGCAGCGTGCTCGTGTGATTGCAGCAACACCGCGGGGTCAGTTCATCGCAGGCAGCGGCCACAACCTTGTCACCCCGAGGCCCCCCATCCAGCCTGCCCTCATGACCCAACAGCACGCCCTCTATGCAACACGGCCGTCAGCTGCGTCCGCCCGGCTTCGGTCGGCACAGGCTTTGGCACGGCTGAGCCTCCCCATCCCCGCCCCCTGCACCGCCACCCGCCCTGGCCCGCCCTCCGAACAAACACCGTTTGATGCACACCACCAAATGCACACACACCATCAAATGCACACCGCCACGCACCCACCAGGGAGTGCAAGGATGAGGTCACGCGCGACACCAACCGGGCGGCCCAGGACTACCGCCTCAACTGGCGGCTCAGCAAGGCCTGCGAAAAGGTGTGGGGGCGGGCCGAGCCTGGGTTGAGGGACGCTCGCTTGCAAGGCAGCTGGATGCCGTCAAAGCCTGCCCCCTCCCCTGCGCCACGAGTAGTTAGGTTTTTTGGTGGTGTCCTTACTTATCAACGGTATTCTTGCAAGAAAGATTCTGACTTACACACACTTTTTCTCTCCACACACTCACACGCGCGCACACACACACACACACGCGGACACACACACATATATGCGCCTGCACAAACACACACACATATGCGCGTGCACACGCCCCGCAGGACATCTCCGGCCTGTGCAGCGGCCTGTGCTCTGCCAACAGCAACCAGCCCTGCGGGGGTGTGGTGCTCCACTGCCTCACAGAGCGCCAGGAAAACATCACCAGCCAGGCCTGCAACGACGTGAGCCGCCGCATGTGCACACGCGTTGGCTTGCGGCGGGCGCGCAGGCGCGGGCGGATTTCGCATGCAGGCCCCGTCCGTCCCCGGTCTGGCAGTCTGCGAGCACGCGGCGCCGCTCGTCCTCGCGCACGTTGCGGTGTCCTTGCATCATTATATATCGGAACGGGAAAAGGGGTCGTTGACCAGACCGCCCAAGCAGAAAGGCGCCATGTACTCGCCAAGGCAACAACCGCAGTAACTGCTGGTGATTCTGCCGTGATCGCGGGTGCAGAAGCGCCACGACCCCGCCGCCGGGCCGCCCGCTGCGTGCCCCACCACTGCCGCGGCGGCACCCCGCAGGAGGTGTTTTACTACCAGCTGATGGAGGTCAACGACTTCAGGAATGACGTCATCTTGGCAGAGGCCTGCAGGGCGGACGTCGATAAGTACTGCAAAGACGTGGAGCCGGGTTAGTCATGGGGGGCCTGCTGGGTTGAGTCGTGGGGGGCTGCTGGGGCGAGAGGGGGAGGGGGAGGGATTCCGCTGACATGGCTTTCGGCCGTGGACGGCTGGAGGGGAGGTGTGTGTCCCACCGTTAGACGCTGATGAGTGCCGGGGTTGAGTGTTTTGGGGCGCCGCATCCCAAACATCCTGGCTGGTCGGCCCTGGCCCCCTCTCAACAAAGGGCTCGAGGGCCGTGGGCCTGCACCCCACCCACCCAAACGGCTCCTCGGCTCTCGCGCTCTCTCCCGACACACGGCTGTTGAGCCCCTTCCCTCACCCACCCCTAGCCTCGCCACACAGCACATTCTGATCGGCACTGAGCCCCCCTCCAAACAAACATGAATCTTGCCAGGCGACGGCCGTGTGCACCAGTGCCTGCGCCACCAGCTCAACTTCATCAGCGAAAAGTGCCGCGACGAGGAGACAAAGCTGGCGGAGAGGGAGGAGAGGGACATACGCCTCAAGCCGCGCCTCGCGAAGGTGCGGCGAGCGCGCCGCCACGCCGGCAGCCGTCGGCGCGTGGCCGGGACCTCCCGCACCATTGTTGTTGCTGCTTCTGGTGGTGCTGCTGCGGCTGCTGCTGCTGCTGCGGCTGTTGCTGCTGCTGCTGCTGCGGCTGCTGCTGCTGCTGCTGCTGCTGCTGCTGCTGCTGCTGTTGCTGCTGGTGGTACGGGAGGTGGTGGTGGTGGTGCTCCTGGTGGTGATGGTTGCAGTGCACACCCCTGGCCGGTCGGCTGTTTGATGCGCGGGATGCTGTGAGCACATTGCAACCGGCCGCCGGACCAGGCCCAACGCACTGCTTCCATGCACGCTCCAGCTCCCCGGCTGCGAGGATCCTGACACGCTCCCTCTTGCCCTGCACCGCGCGTGGCCCCTCCGCGCCTCACAACCCAACTTTCATGCCAACCGCCATCCCCACCCCTGTCCGCACCACCGCCTCCAACCCCGCCCAAATGCCCCCCCCACCACCGTCCCCTCCGCACCCCCCAGTTCTGCTCCCAGGAGCGCGCGGCGTTCTGCGGCGCCGTGCGGCCCGGGAAGGCGCGCGTGATAAAGTGCCTCATTGACAGCATGGGGAAGCCGAATTTTGGGGTGGAGTGCCGGGTGCAGCTGCAGCAGCGGGCGCACGTCGTGAACAGCGATTACAGGTGAGTGAAGGTTCTGGAGGGCGGAGGGCGGGGCGCGTCATCCATACGCTTAACCGTCAGGTGATTACGCGCGTTCTCGCTCCACAAGCGGGACCGGCTATACCCTGCGTGCGCAACGCGCGCTGCGCCCCCTCGCGCCCCCGCCCCCGCCCGGTCGCAGGTACGACGTGGGCGTGCGCGAGGCGTGCGCGCGCGACGTGGACAGCATGTGCGCCGACGCGAAGAAGAAGCTGCGGGGTCAGGCGCAGGTGCTGAAGTGCCTGGTGAAGAGCCTGGCCGACGCCAACGATGGCTGCCAGGTGGGGGGCCGCTTGGCTTGCGGGCCGACAAACCCTGGGCTCGATTCGTGAAGCGACACCTTGTGGCGAGTTTGGAAAAGGCGACGGGGCAGCCGTGCGTCCCGGGGTCAGACACGGGTGTGGTTCCCTTGCGGCTATGACAGCCGCAGCTCAGGGCGATGCGCGATGGAATGTGCATCACACACACGCGCGCGCACACACACACACACACACACACACACACACACACACACACACACACACACACACACACACACACACACACACACACACATGTCACACACATGCACGCGTGCGCGCACACACGAACACTCACATGCGCGCGCACACACAAACAGTCACACATGTGCCCCCCCACACACCCACACGCACCCACCTTCTTCTCCAGCTTGCTGCACCAGTTCCACGCGGAAGTCAGGCGGCCGTCGATGCAGCTGCCCGCGTCAAAAAAGTTGTCCGCGCCGCTGCCGTCTGCAGGGCGGGTCAGTGCGTCACGGCCGGTCGGTCGCAGACTGGGGAGAACGTCATGTCGCGTTCCATGCGCGTGCTCCCGCCAAGCGGGCGCCTCGGCCCTGGGGGCATCTGCAGGGCCGACAGGCTGCACCGGGCATCCGCACAGGGCTGCTGGTGGCGCAGGGTTTGGCTCCCCCATGCTGCACGACGACACTGACAAAGAGTGTGGAGGAA